GGGACCCGTGGCCACGCCCCAAGGGCCTTCAAGCTCTCCCTCAGCGCCGCCCCGTCCCGCCGCGAGCCGCGGGCGCGCCCCATTGGCCAGCGCAACTCTCATTCATCGTGGCCCCGCCCAACAGGGAACTACTGGCGCGCCCCATTGGTCCCTGCGGCTCTTACTCAGCGCTGCCCCGCCCAGCCACGGGCGCGCCCCATTGGCTCGTGCGGCCGTCACTCAAGGCTGCCCCGCCCAGCCACGGGCGCGCCCCATTGGCCTGTGTGGCCGTTGTTCACCGCCGTCCCGCCCAGCCAGGAGCCGCAGGCGCGGGCCGCCTCAGAGCTGACCTGGCTTCGCGCCTCAAGTGCCATCAGAGGGGACCGGCGACAGCGTGGGGGTGACCGGCGGGGACAGGGCGGGGGTGACCGGCGGGGACAACATTGGGGTGACAGTATGTGGGTGACCGGCAATGACATCATGCAGGTGACCAGCGATGACAACATTGGGGTGACAGCGTGGGGGTGACAGCGATGACATCATGCAGGTGACAGCGATGACAACATTGGGGTGACAGCGTGGGGGTGACAGCAATGACATGCAGGTGACAGCGATGACAACATTGGGGTGACAGCGTGGGGGTGACAGCAATGACATGCAGGTGACAGCGATGACAACATTGGGGTGACAGCGTGGGGGTGACAGCGATGACATGCAGGTGACAGCGATGACAACATTGGGGTGACAGCGTGGGGGTGAACAGCGATGACATGCAGGTGACAGTAATGACAACACTGGGGTGACAGCGATGACATCATGCAGGTGACCAACGATGACAACATTGGGGTGACAACGTGGGGGTGACAGCGATGACATCATGCAGGTGACCAACGATGACAACATTGGGGTGATAACGTGGGGGTGACAGCGATGACATCATGCAGGTGACAGCGATGACATCATTGGGGTGACAGCGTGGGGGTGACAGCGATGACAACATTAGGGTGACGGGTGACAACGCCGGGGCGACTGGCGATGACATGCGGGTGACCAGGGATAACATAGGGGTGACGGGTGACCAGCAATGACAACACTGGGGTGACCAGCGATGACATCATGCAGGTGATCAGTGATGACAACATTGGGGTGACAGGTGACAGCGCAGGGGTGACTGGCGATGACATGCGGGTGACCAGCGATGACATTGGGGTGACAGTGAGGGGGTGACCAGCGATGACATCATGCAGGTGATCAGCGATGACAACACTGGGGTGACAGGTGACAAGGCAGGGGTGACTGGCGATGACATGCGGGTGACCGGCGATGACAACATTGGGGTGACAGGTGACAAGGCAGGGGTGACTGGCGATGACAACATTGGGGTGACGGGTGACCAGCGATAACATTGGGGTGACAGCGTGGGGGTGACCAGTGATGACAACATTGGGGTGACAGCCGCTGCTTGCAGACCGGGGACCCGGAAGCTTCTCGGGACCCGGCCCCAGTTGTCCCCAGACCCGCGGTGGCCGCCCCCGTTGTCACCCGCCGGCCCGGTGGCCTCATTTCTGTCACACGCGGTGCAGACTCATCGATGGCTGGGGACAGCGCCCCTTGTCCAACCAACGCCTGCTCCCTCCCTGTGGGCGGCGGCGGAGGCCCACACACGGGCCCCGCAGCCGGGTTGTCCTCTGAACAAGCGCGTCCCCAAATGCCCCGTCCTCGTAGTTCAGCAGACAACGGCAGGCTCCAAAAAGAGGAAAAAAGACAAAAAGAAACACACACGGCCGGGGCGTGGAGGCTCACGCCTGTCATCCCAGCACTCTGGGAGGAGGCCGAGGAAGGAGGCTCGCTCGAGGTCAGGAGATCGAGGCCAGCCTGAGCAAGAGCGAGACCCCGTCTCTACTAAAAAAAAAAAAAAAAAAGAACGCAGATGAACGACTAAAACATATAAAAAAACGACCGGGCGTGGAGGCGCATGCCTGTAGTCCAGTACTCCAGGAGGAGGCCGAGCGGAGGATCGCTCAGGCAGGAGATTGAGCCAGCCTGACAGAGCGAGACCCCGTCTCTACTATAAAAAAAAGAAAGAAAGAAAGAAAAGAGCTGGACGACTAAAAATATATAGAAAAACTGAGCCGGGCGTGGTGGCGCACGCCTGTCATCCCAGCTACTCGTGAGGGAGGCCGAGGTGGGAGGCTCGCTTGAGGTCAGGAATTGGACCCAACCGGACCTACAGCAAGCGAGAAGCCAGACGTCCTACTAAAAAAAGAAAGAAAGAAAGAAGAATAATGGATGACACTAAAAACACATAATAAGAAAAAAATGAGCGCGGGTGAAGGCGAACACAACGGCGTGCCTACTGTCGTCCCAGCTCTCGGGAGGGAGGCCGAGGCGGGGGCAGTACCTGGAGGAGGCCAGGATGTTGGAGGCCGCTGTGAGCGAGGCTCCGACTCAAAAAAAAAAAAAAAAGAGACCGGCGAGGTTTACAACTGACTCAAACTTTTTATTACTAAAAACGAAGCTACTCTTATAAAAACCCGAATGTACAGGCGGGGACACGGGCGTCACCCGTCCCCGGAAAAGCGGAGGACGGGGGTCTGAGGACAGACAGACACCTTCCGCCTGCTCTTTGGCCAACGGAGGCCGAAGCAACCGGGACACAAAACTCGGGGCAAACGGGTGACGCCCCTGTCCTCCTCTGTCCCCCAAAAGGTCCCCCAGGCACGCCAGGCACCCCGGGGGACAGAGCGAAAAGACGAGCCACTCGCAACCCGCTGACGCAAGGCTCAGCGGATCAGCCCGCTTAGAGGAGAGGAGAGAGGCGAAAACCAGAGGCCCAGCTACTCGGGAGGGAGGCCGAGGCTGGAGGACCGAGCTCGAGGTCAGGAGGTGGAGGCCGGCCTGAGCAAGGGCGACCACCGGGTCCGCGCCAGAGACACCGACCCCGTCACCCCCCCGGGGGCCGCGGGGCCGAGTCCGGAGGCGCCCGGCGCGGAGGGAGGAAAACGGAGGCCGGACTCCGCCGAGCGAGGCTCACGGGCCTCAGAACTGCTGCAGGATCATCTTGCGTTTGAGGTCGAGGCTGAACTTGTGCAAGCGGAACAGCTCGCTGTCGTAGAAGGCAGAGAGGTTGTGGATGTTGATCTGCCGCGCCTAAAGAAGGGGACACGAGGTGACTTGAGCCTCCGGGGACGGGGGGACCGGGGACTTGCGGACGCCACGACAGGCTCCGTGGGAGAGAGAGAAAAAAAAACCAGGTGGAGGCCGGGCGCGGAGGCTCACGCGCCTGTCAAGCCGGCACTCTGGGAGGCCGAGGAGGGAGGATCGCTCGAGGTCGGGAGGTCGAGGCCGGCCTGAGCAAGAGCGAGACCCCGTCTCTACTAAAAAAAATTTTTAATAGAAAGAAATGAGCTGAACGACTAAAAAATGTATAGAAAAAAAAACGAGCCGGGCGTGGTGGCGCATGCCTGTCGTCCCAGCTACTCGGGAGGGAGGCCGAGGCGGGAGGCTCGCTGGAGGTCAGGAGGTCGAGGCCAGCCTGAGCAAGAGCGAGACCCCGTCTCTACTTAAAAAAAAAAATAGAAACTAACCGGACAAGTAAAAATTTATAGAAAAAACGAGCCGGGCGTGGAGGCGCATGCCTGTAGTCCCAGCTACTCGGGAGGGAGGCCGAGGCAGGAGGCTCACTGGAGGCCAGGAGTTGGAGGCTGCTGTGAGCGAGGCTGACGCCACGGCGCTCACTCTGGCCCGGGCGACAGAGCCAGACTCTATCTTAGAAAACTAAAAAAAAAAAAGAGGCCAGGCACAGAGGCCCACGCCTGTCATCCCAGCACTCTGGGAGGCCGAGGCGGGAGGATCGCTCGAGGTCAGGAGGTTGAGGCCAGCCTGAGCAAGAGCGAGACCCCGTCTCTACTAAAAAAAATAGAAAGAAACGAGCTGGACGACTAAAAATATATAGAAAACTGAGCCGGGCGTGGAGGCGCATGCCTGTCGTCCCAGCTACTCGGGAGGGAGGCCGAGGCAGGAGGATCGCTGGAGGCCAGCCTGAGCAGGAGCGAGGCCCCGTCTCCACTAAAAACAGAAAGAAATTAGCCAAATAACTAATAATAGAGAAAAAAAAAACGAGCCGGGCGTGGAGGCGCATGCCTGTCGTCCCAGCTACTCGGGAGGGAGGCCGAGGCGGGAGGCTCGCTGGAGGAGGCCAGGAGTTCGCAAAGGAGGCCGCCACTTAAGCGACCCCCCTGTGACCGAAGCCACTGAAAAGCCCCAACCCGGCAGAGCCTGAGCCTCGGCCTCGCGGGGGCGGCCTCACCTTTTCCACCAAGTCCTTCTCGGGGACCTCGATGGTGTCCTGCTGGGCCCCGAAGCGGTTGCGCTGGTATGCCACCTGCTCGGCCACCAGCTGCTTCAGGACGAACAGCAGGAGCTCGTTGTTGTCCCGCCGGAAGGACAGGTAGCGGGAGAAAGTCTGCCGAAGAAGAGGAGGCGAGGTCAGGACTCGAGGAGGCCGGGGAGGGAGGATCGCTCGAGGTCAGTGTGAGCAAGAAAAACCAAGACCCCGTCTCTACTAAAAATAGAAAGAAATGAGCTGGACGAGTAAAAATACATAGAGAAGAAACGAGCCGGGCGTGGAGGCGCATGCCTGGGGTCCCAGCTATGAGGGAGGGAGGCTGAGGCAGGAGGATCGCTCGAGGCCAGGAGTCGGAGGCTGCTGTGAGCGAGGCTGAGGCCACGGCACTCACTCTAGCCCGGGCGACAGAGCGGGACTCTGCCTCAACAACAAGGAAAAAAAAAAAGAACAGAAGTGGAGGCCATGAAAGCAGTCGAGGTCAAGAAGTGCAGGCCAGAAAAGAAGTGGAGGTCAGAAGTGGAGGCCACGAAAGAAGTCAAGGCCAGAAGTAGAGGCCACAAAAGCAGTCGAGGTCAGAAATGGAGGCCACAAAAGAAGTCGAGGCCAGAAGTGGAGGTCACGAAAGCAGTCGAGGTCGGAAGTGGAGGCCACAAAAGGACTTGAGGTCAGAAGTGGAGGCCAGAAAAGAAGTGGAGGTGAGAAGTAGAGGCCACAAAAGAACTTGAGGTCAGAAGTGGAGGCCAGAAAAGAAGTGGAGGTCAGAAGTGGAGGCCAGAAAAGCAGTGGAGGCCACAAAAGAAGTAGAGGCCAGAAGTGGAGGCCAGAAAAGCAGTGGAGGTCAGCAGTGGAGGTCAGAAGTGGAGGCCACAAAAGAAGTCAAGGGCAGAAGTGGAGGCCAGAAAAGAAGTGGAGGTCAGAAGTGGAGGCCAGAAAAGAGTGGAGGCCACAAAAGAAGTGGAGGTCAGAAGTGGAGGCCACAAAAGCAGTGGAGGCCAGAAAAGAAGTGGAGGTCAGAAAAGAAGTGGAGGTCAGAAGTGAAGGCCAGAAAAGCAGTGGAGGTCAGAAGTGGAGGCCACGAAAGAAGTTGAGGGTAGAAGTGGAGGCCACGAAAGAAGTGGAGGCCAGAAGCGGAGGCCCGGCGGGGCGGGGCACCTTGCGCATGCCGCGCATCACGCTGAACTTCTGCGTGTCCACGAAGCTCTCGAGCATGACGCGGATGGCCAGGTTCACGTCGTCCTCCACGACGTAGTCGCGCAGGTGGAGGCGGGCGTGGGCCTCCGCCAGGCGGATCATGGACTCGATGTGGCGCACGGTGATCGGGATGCTGCCCGTGGCCTGCGGGGACAAGCGCAGCGTCAGGACAGCGGCCGGGGAGCTGCAGGCCGCGGACTGCACTCTGGGAGGCCGAGGAGGGAGGCTCGCTCGAGGTCAGGAGTCGGAGGCCAGCCTGAGCAAGAGCCAGACCCCGTCTCTACTAAAAATAGAAAGAAATGAGCTGGGCAATTAAAAATATATAGAAGAACTGTAATCCTAGAAGTCTGGGAGGCTGAGGCAGGAGGCTCGCTTGAGGTCAGGAGTTGGAGGCCAGCCTGAGCCAGAGCGAGACCCCGTCTCTACTAAAAAATAATAGAAAGAAATGAGCTGGACAACTAAGAATATATAGAAAAAAAAAACCGAGCCGGGCGTGGCGGCGCATGCCTGTCGTCCCAGCTACTCGGGAGGGAGGCCGAGGCGGGAGGCTGGCTCGAGTGACAGGTGTCCCCTGGGCGTCACCCCGTGTCCCGGAGGAACTGAGAGTGACCGTCCACTTCTGGCAGGAAATAGCCCTGCTAGATGGGGCCTCTTGCTGTCAGTCCTTACTGCCTCGTCTCTGTGTTTTTTTTTTGAGCCAGCCTCGCTCACAGCAGCCTCCAACTCCTGGCCTCAAGCGATCCTCCCGCCTCGGCCTCCCTCCCGAGTAGCTGGGACGACAGGCATGCGCCACCACGCCCGGCTCATTTTTTGTTCTGTATTTTTTTAGTTATTCACCTCATTTCTTTGTATTTTTTTAGAGACGGGGTCTCGCTCTTTCCCGCTCAGGCTGGCCTCCAACTCCTGGCCTCGAGCGAGCCTCCAGCCTCAGCCTCCCGAGTAGCTGGGACGACAGGCATGCGCCATCACGCCCATTTTTTTGTTTTTTTTTTTGTATATATTTTCAATCGTCCAGCTCATTTCTTTCTATATTTTTTAGTAAAAACAGGGTCTCGCTCTTGCTCAGGCTGGCCTCCGACTCCTGACCTCCAGCCACTGATCCTCCCTCCTCAGCCTCCCTCCTGAGCACCTATAACTACAGGCATGCGCCTCCACGCCCGGCTCATTTCTTTTTTTTCCTATATATTTTTAGTCGTCCAGCTCATTTCTTTCTATTATTTTTTTTTTGGTAGCGACATAACCTCGCCTTTGCTCAGGCTGGCCTCCACCTCCCTGACCTCCAGCGATCCTCCCTCCTCGGCCTCCCAAAAATTTGGCTGGAGTCACATACAGATGCTCAGCCTCGCATCGTTTTTTTTTTTTGCATTTTTTTTTTTTTGACGTCTTCCCTGATCTGGAGGCTCGCGGCGCGACCCACCGAACGCCACCCCTCGTCCCCCAGAACGGCCTCCGTCTCGGGCCCCGGCCTCGCCCCGGGCCTCTCACCATGGACTCCTTCCTGAGGTCACTGTACATCTTGGCCACCTTGTCCTGGTCCATGTGGTTGAGCCTGGGGTGGACCTTGTCCTTGGCGTACAGGAGGTACTTCCTCAGGGCCTCCTGGGGTAGAGGCCGGACTCCCCGCGCGCCGGGCAGGGCGGCCTCCGCGGGGGCGACGCCGGCCGGGCCCGCCTCGCCCTTGTTGCCGGGGTGATGCCGCACGTGGCTGCCCACCACGAAGCGGGCCAGCATCTCGTCCTGCAACGGGGGACGGGGGGACGACGACACGCCAGTCAGCGACACGGCCTCGGCGACACGGACGCAAAGCTGCACGCGTGTGGCGTGGGGGCGACTCCCTCCGTGTCTGTCTTTTTACAGTTTTTTGAGACAAGAGTCTGGCTCTGTCGCCCCGGGGCCGGAGTGAGCGCCGTGGCCTCGGCCTCGCTCACGGCGGCCTCCAAGGTC